TGATGTCACTCCACTCAATATATATAAACCACTCAGTCCAGTCTGACCTTGCCCATGCGGGTCTTCCTGCTAGTAAATTCCTGCTGCTCTGAGTATTCTGATTCTGTGTGTGACCTGATCCTGGCTGACATTCTCCTCTGGCTCCTGCTCCTGGCTTGTTCCTGACAACACTGATTTCCTGGCTCCTGCTCCTGGCTTGTTCATGACAATACTGATCTCTGTGTTCCTGACGTGGCTTGGACGACTACCCACTCTGGCTCCTGACTCTGGCTTGTTCCGGTTTATGATTCTGCTTGCTCCTGTGGACACTGTTCTTAATAAATATTTTAACCAGCACCTTTCGCTTGTCTGGTTTTCATTGTGCTCCGACAGGGGCATTATGCCGAGGAATATTAATATATTAGGGGAAGGAAGTGCTTAATCTGCCAACGTCTATCCAAAACACAATCAGTCATGGCTTGATTCACCCTTTTAGAATTATGGCAGATGTGCCGTAATATGACTACTTTTCTGAGAAATCAGTGGTCCCACTGAGTTACACCCTCAAGGGCTTGTGAATCCCACTGATATGAATTTAGTGGAGCTCCAAAAATATACAAGCACAACCAGCTCAGCCCCATTTGTCCTACAATAAACAGGACATGACTTGGGAGCACATTGTGTGCACACAGATCCTGTAGCAGCTCCTATGTGTGGTGTACCTGTCACTAAGCCATTTCCTGCTGTGTTGATGAATATTTAAGGACACATTCTAGTAGAGTTCCACATTCAGAAAATTGTCATTAGGAGTTTCTACCGGTGTTCATGTGTTTCAACCAACCACTGGTAACTCCAGTAATGTTCAGATGAAAGTGGTGCTTCAATTATTGCTTGACATAACAAGCAATACAATTTTCAGTTTAAAAGGAGAACTATGGGGTTCTATCTTTTCTTGACTAATGCATTCCTTAGTCTAAATAAGTAAATTATGTAATTTACTCTAATTAGCCAAAATGCACAGTAAGGCTGTAAACCCTTATTTAAGGTGGTGGGCGGTGCTAAGCGCCGCAATGAGGAGACATCCCGACGTGTCTGACGGGATCCTCCCCACTGATCTTCCTCACTGTGACTGACAGTGATTCTTGAGAGCTGCTGCGCGTCCACAAATATATGGACATGCGCAGCAGCTCTCTCCTTACCTGCACGTCCCCGTGTGCCAGCCGGGCTCCTTCCCCCCCCTCTCTCTCTCCCTGCCCTGTGTCACACTGACATAATAAAAAGATCGTGGATCGCTGATGACAGAGGGGAAGGAGCCCTCTCTCTCTCTTCAGCATTTACTACAAATGGGAACGTCCATATATGTTAAATGATGTCACTGGAGATCCCTGCAGATCGGATGCTTGCCAGTCTGCAGGGATCCCCAGTGACACCATTTACCATATATGGACTTTCCCATTTGTAGTAAATGCTGAAGAGAGAGAGGGCTCCTTCCCCTCTCTCATCAGCGATCCCCAGTGAATTGAGGATGTCAGCGTCACACAGGGCAGGGAGAGAGAGAGAGGGGAAGGAGCCTTCTCTCTCTCTCTTCATCATTTACCACATATGGGCAAGTCCATATATGATGAATGATGTCACTGGGGATCCCTGCTGATCGTATGCTTGCCAGTCTGCAGGGATACCCAGTGACATCATTCACCATATATGGACTTGCCCATTTCTGGTAAATGATGGAGAGAGGGATGGCTCTTTATCCTCTCTCTCTCCCCCTGTGTTATGCCGACATCCTAATTACTGGGGATCGTTGATGAGAGAGAGGAAAGAGCACTGAATGTGCAGGGAGGCTGAGTCCGTCTCTTGCTGCTGCCTTCTCACTTCAGACTCCGCCTCCCACTCACAAATGCCAGCGTGCACGAGCTGACAAAACACAGCTGTGCATGATGAGGAAGTGCGGCCACAGCAATGAGATCATTTGAAAAAAAAGCCGTGGGCGGGCTGGATCAAATGTTAACGCCCCCTAAGAGGAAAGGAGCTTGGAGCAGGGTTGAAGACGCCATTTACTACAGGTTTTGAGGGTTTTATCTGTGATGTGCTGCGACTTTAGAAAAAAGGAACAATGCTACTACAATCAAGGTAAGGGGTATTTTTATTTGCCCTTAAGTCATAGTTCTCCTTTAAGAGGATTGGGGAAAACAACAACAGTCCTTTACTTTATACATTTTAGTTAAAGTGTCCCTCATGTATAAAGATTAGGGATGAACTTTGGGTTCGGGTCAACCATGAGTTGGACCCGAACCCAAGCTGTTCGTTGTTCTTCAAAGGCGAAGAATTTGACCAGTTCACAGCACACCGAACCTCTGTATCCTAGTAGTCAATCATGCTTACACAGCACCACTGGTTGATTGGTAGCTGAGCCTCACATCTTCATAGGTTGCTAGGACACAGACATGTGCACCATAACAATCTATGACTTTGTCGTGCCGCCAGCATCATTCATTTTTCTGGTGCGCCGGTCAAGTAAGTTTTCGTGCCCTTGGCATTTGGAGGAGACTAAATGCCAGCCTCCTTCCAACTGGCTGCGGACCCTAGTCTGGAATAAGGTGTTAAATTGCTGGTTGGGATAATACTGTATCTTATCATGGACCTAACATCTGAACTCATCTATGCAACTCCCAAACGGGCCTTTTTAGCACCATATGCCCACCGGCTGGATTGCGGACCAGCAGGACTTATTACCAATCTTATAGAGCTCTTGTTCAGATGCTTTATGTGCTTAGTCCCACTAAGTCTGGACTGATTCCCACCCACAATAGTCTCCTTGCAGAATAAGTACATCTTCCTCACTGAAAAGCCTGCTGATGGGATCATCCTGCTAATCCCTTTATCACTAATCCCTTTCTCGTTACCCTTTTTACCTAAGTTCGTTTGGACTGATTTTCAGAAATGTTAATTTTATTAAAATAATGTAATCTTACCTGGGGGGCTATAAAATGTGTGCTGTTTGTTCAATAAAGAAGTTCATGTTTTAACCTAGCATTGTCTGATGTTTAAGGTAATGTTTCTGCTATAATCAACTCTGCCGGTTAGTTCCACCACACAGAAAGCTAGCTCTGATGGCATATCCAGTCCAGTCCAGTGTTGCTGTCACAGCGCCTGACTGCATCCTACCAACCAATGGCGCTTTGCGATGCTGCCACTAGAATCCTAGCAAGCAATGATGCTGTGCTAGTCGTACAGTGTGATTGGTTGATAGGACACAGGTGCCTCTGCGTTCAGGTCATGTGGACATTCAGCAAACTTAGCTTTCCCACGTCAGCTTCGGCTCATCTCTAATAAGAAAAAAGCCTTAAAAAATCACTCCAGGTGTGTTTAAAAATACCTTCTCCTGTAGGTGAACTATACATTGCAAGGATTGTTATCATTTCTTTGTAAATTTATTAGTTTCTTTGCTCTGAAAAAACAGCTGTTTGTTTAACCTCCTCTCTTGAATAATTTTTTAACGTTCACACATTTTTTTAACTAAATTTTACCAGTAATAAAGAAACATAATTGAATAATTTTTTAAAGGGAGAGTCTGCCTTTATTAATCGATACCTGACAAAATCTTTGTTACAAAGACAAAGGCTTTGTTTAAGCCTGTAAAGCACCAATAAGCTCCAGTTTGGAGAGGTTAAACACAGGTGTTAACCACTTGCTGACCGGGGTGTTACACCCCCTTCCTGGCCAGGCCATTTTTCAGTATTCAGCTCTGCGATCCTTTGACTGACATTTATTTCGTCATGCAACTCTGTACTGAAATTAATTTTATACCATTTTTTTTGCGGACAGATAGAGCTTTCTATTGGTGGTATTTAATCACCCCTGTGGTTTTTATTTTTTACTATATAATAAAAAAAAGTACAGAAAAGCTTAGAAATTGTGTGTGCCCGCGAAATCGCGAAAAACTACCATACCCAAAATTGGCCATAGACGACGCTTTAAAAGCTGTTACCGCTCATCAGTTTAGTGCTATCAATGATTGATGGCCCTAGAATTATTGCTCCCATTCCGGCGTTCGCGGTGATATGAATGGGGCCGGGGATTTTAAATGTTTTTAAATGTTTTCTATTAATTGCTTTTATATGTGGCTTTTCATTTTTTTTTTTTTTAACTTTAATTTTTTTTAAACCTTTTTTTCACTTAACTTGATTGCTATCACATGGGGGATGACAAGGTCCTCTTTATTTGACAGGCCCTCTTTATGGAGACCTCAGGGGTCTTTAAGATCACTAATGTCACCTAAGGACCCCAGGTAAGCTGATGAAGCAGAGACCTGCTTCACCAGCTTCTCCCGGCTTCTGTACGGGAGAGTGACAGATGAATGCGTAAGTGATGTAATATACATCACTTCCTGCATTCCGACAACGAGGAGGAGATCAAAGGGAGATCGTATACCGATCTCCCTTTGATCTATGGTCACAGAGCTGCTGTGCTGGTCCTGGGCTCTTACCGGGCACAGCGGAGCTCGGGATTGCCAGCGGAGAGGGCGCACACCCACACGCATATTACAAGCGATCCGGCGTCTCTACAGACGCCTGAATGCTTGTATGTAGACAGCCATCGTTGGCTGTTTACATTTCAAGCTTATTTCCTACTCGGCGGGCACGAGCTGGGCGTGAAGGGACGTTTAAAAACGGCATCCAAGAAGCCACTGTCCGGCCGTTTAATTACAATAGCAGGACAGCAGGTGGTTAATGGGTGCTCTGACTGTGTACCTGCCAGCATCATAATTTGGGTAAGAGGGACAATTGGAAAAGTTTCTCTCTAATGGACCCCTGAATAGCAGTAAGAACGTGACAGGGGGTCTAATCCTTTCACACTTTATCCAAATAAAAAAATGTTTTTACTGGACATACACATAAACAATAAACATTGTAGTTGCCAAATATCCAGTCGTGAATACAGAACAGGACACATAAGATGCATAGATACAAGTTTCATTTTCATACAGTTATACTAGTATGTATCCATAGCTATAAACTTACGCTATGTACTGTTCACTTTTGTTGTACTTCTTGGCTAAATAACGTGCAGAGGCTTTACTGGGGATTTTCACCATGGACAGCTCCTTCCCATACCGTGTCATGTTACATGGAGTCTCGCACAAACAGTAGTCGTTGTCCTTTTCCACCAGGAAATCTGATAAAGTTGAAGTCATAGCAAGATAAAAGAACTGAGCATAAGCAGGGATTTTGTTAATGTTCTCAAGCAAAATAAATATACAGAACAAGATGGACCTAAATATGCAACTACAGAGAAATCAAAGAACTGTGCTAATATAGTTCTTCCTCAAGTTAGTTCAAGCCAGCTCAATAGATGGTTAAAAAAAAGCTGAATGTGCTTCTAAATGTACAAGATATGATGGGCTATTAATATAAGTAATAACATTGCAGATTGTTGATTCAGGGAATTCCCCATTGCCTTAAGGGATCTGGAAATATTACTATATATTGGATCTAAGTATTACTGAAACCAGCACTGTGAGTAGCTGTGTTTTCAGTGGACACTGAGCAAATATATGTCATACACAGGCAGTCTACTGCCATCTGTTTAATACAGCTTTGGATTAAAAAATACAGATACATGAATTATAACTAAGACCGACAAAACAAAATCATTCATCCCTTTAAAACAAGGAATTTGCTCCAACTCCTCAGTCCAAACAGAGAAGGTAGACATATGTACTCCATATATTTCCAATGGAAAGGCACCACTTTACCAACCAAATCAATCACATTTATTAAGTATTCATTCAAACTTCATTTTAGATATTTTTGTTTACTATATTTGTTAATCAGGCAAATCTGACACTTTCCTAGCAAATCACAATTTACTGTTTCCCCTGAATAATAATAGTGCCTAATTACTACCAAATTAATTTTGCAGTTTTCTGTGGAACCAGGAGAATTAGCATACAGCATTGTAGAACTGCATGCCACCCCAGATGTATTGTCTTAATTTTGTATGTATTAAATGACCCAAACCAAACTGACTTCCCACCTTTGCAGGTAACTGTGAGTCACTTTAATTATCTTTTATCTACCCATCTAGCTCTCCCTCTTTCCCTCCATACCCCATCCACATCCCTCTCCCCGTCTACCCATTATCCATAAATGCATCCATTCCTTTCTTTGCATGGTTTTGTATTTGTAAATTTACACACCAATGCAAAGATGAAAAACTCTTGAGATAATTGTTCCTAAATCTGGTCAATCTCGATCAGCTTATGAGATAAACTATTACAGGGCAAATAGCTGTTGGCTAAGTTGCATTTATGTTGCTTACCACCATTTTCTTCTGTCACTAAAGAGTTGTACTCCTGCCTCCCCTAACTCCCAATTATTAACTCAATTTATCCTAAATGTTTATGGAAAGATCGTTCAATAAAAAACTGATATTCATGGCTTGTTTAAAGTAAACCTGTCATACGAATAAAGTACTAATATGAGCTAATAGCAAGCTCTGATTGGTTCTACCATGTACTTTAAGATGTGTTCTTAGCACCCTGGGATTCCCAAAACCTAGGAAACTCTGTTATGCAGAGAAGGTCACCTGTGACCACTTCCTCAACCTCACTATTGGTCAGTGACCAAGCAAATCACACCAAAGAGCCAATCTTGAGAGGGCAGTCTTGATCACATCTTACTCTGAAGAAATAAAATTTTGCCTCACCATGGATCATCCCCCTCTATATGAGTCACATAAGAAAAATCCAATCATTGGTTCTGATAAGAATTATGAAATAAAAACAGAACTCACCTAGTGCTGGGTCTGCACACTCCTTATATAACTCTGGTGTACAATAAGCGGCATCTCCTGTATGAAAATAGGAAAAATAATAAATATTTACATTGTTTAGACTAGAGCTTTACATTTAAAAGATGTGGCCTGGCTGTCTTTAGTACTTTTAAGTCATAGACCTGGTGCAAGCATGCAGCAAATGAAAGATTTAAGAATGTGGCAACTATGTATCATTATAATTGGTGGGGATAAGGGACTCAAAAAGTACTGAAGCCAAACTCTTCTATCAATCCTGGAACCAGGGGTGTTCCTAGTGTTTTCACCGCCTGAGGTGGCGGGTGAAGGGGAAGAGGGTGCCGGTAGTGCACACCAATGGGAGGGGGGTGTGCGTCCCGCTTAGCTGGGCAGGAAACCAGCCAGAGTGTCCCAGCTTGCCTGGCTTTTATCAACCTGGGATGCTCTGACTGGAAAGGAGGCGGCAGGCCGCTCTGCCTGCCGTCTCCCCACGTGACCCAAAGAGATGCCGCCTGAGGCGAAAGCATTAAAGGGATGGCACTGGATGGACCCTACGTCACTACTGTTCCTATAGTGACAATGGGGTCAGAGGATGGAACCACAGCACGTGGTGGGGGGCAGAGGAATGCAAAATTCCTGAAAATGTAAAATGCAGATGATTATGATGGAGGCTGTAGCGCTTAAAAAGAACGTAGAAGACACAGATCGCTAAAGAGGTAAGCATAATCGCTCATCTTTTGCAGGGATCTACTTTTGTTTTTTTTTTGGTGATGGCACTGTCCCTTTAACACATATAGATAAGATTATTTACATCAAAATGATTAGGAAAAAAATTGAAAACATGATATACTTTCTTCAAGCACAAACTTTATGCATTATTGCTAAGCAGGACACAGAGCCTGTGTTTATAATGAACACATATGACTGACCTATGTATACATTACACATATTTATATACTGTATACAGAAGTGCAAAAAAAACAAAACAGTTGAAGTGTAATTTGGTCAAAATAAAAACATGACATATATGATGACGTTTTCTCACTGCTATTAACATTGCAGTTTCTGGTTTTCTGAGTCCCCTGTGCAACTTGCATTTACTACCTGTTGATCCTGCCAGTAGAGCAATTATTTTTCCATTTTAACATGGATATATTTTGTAAAGAATCTAATGAGATTATCGGTAAACAAAAAATGGGGAACAGTTGCAATTTGACCTTCAATCTCATGAGACCACAGGTAGCTGTGGCCCCCGTCCCCTCCTTGCAGTAAAGACAGACACGGAGAGACTAAGCGGAGTGGCTACATGACTGGGGGGAGGAATAGTCCCGGGAGAAAGGGTTAACAAATTTGGCGGGTTAGGGGGTCTTTGGGGGGTCTACAAAATCGGAGTTGAGTACAAAAATGGGGGGCCCTCAGCTGGTATGGGTGCTTCCCCCTGTTGGTGGATTTGTGAAGGGCGGGGCCCGGCCCCTTGGGAACCCAGAAGGAGTAAGGCTGGGCACACACCTTACAACCATCGCAATACTTTTGTCTTGCCATGGTTGTAAGGTACTTAAAAAAACGTACGATCTGCCTATGTTGCATAGGCAGATCGTACTTGCGATGATCGCAAGCCACCCCCCCTGAGGGGCGGGCTTCCAATGACCGCAATGCCGAACGGGCAGTGTGCGCTTGCGCACACCGGCCCGTGCGGCTGTTATCGTACGGACATGCCACAAACCCGCCGAACATCGTACGATGCTCGGCGGGTTTTCAAACATGTCCGTAAGTTTAAAGTCGTGCGACCTTACAGTAGTAGAGGTCGCACGGCTTCCACACACCTTACGAACATCGTACGATCGCGGGATTTCCCGCGATTATCGTACGATAATCGTAAGATGTGTGGGCACCCTAAGTGTCCTCGAGCTGGTTGTGGTGCGGCTGGGGACATGGGTGGAGTGTTATAAGGGGCCTTTTTGGGACTGTTAGGCACCCAAAGACCCCTTCTCAGGTCAACCATTGTTTACAGTGTTATTTGTGTATATTATTTGGTTTATTATTTTTGATTATTGTTAAAACTGTTTGGTTAATAAAAGGGCTGCTGTGGCCGTTAAAATCCATGTCGCGCAGTCCTTGTGTTTATTGGGGTTTTTAACAGAGGGACAAAAACTGATGAATCCATCAGTCATGTCTTGGTGGATGATTGTACTGCACAGTAACTGTACTGCAACATAACTCTCTAATACCTGTAACTGATAACTAAAGGCTTCTCTGTCAGTCTAAACAAGTCCCAAATACAGTTACTACGATGCACACGCCTCATAAGAAACACTTCCCTTTCTTCGCTAACTGAGACAAATTCCCCTGCGTTTGCGGAAGTCGTTGGTTCTTGTAGGCGCAGCTGGTCTTGGAGCAGGAGGGTGCATTTTGTGCAGAATGCACCCTCCTTGTTATTACCGGAGTTGTATCTTGATACAACACCGGGAATTAAGCTGAGTAGGTACCTGTATGGGGCCCTTGTATGGAGGGCGCCTGTAGGCACGTCCCTACTCTAATGGTAAATCCGGCCCTGCTGACAAAGTACCGGCTGTGAATCAGCAGTGACAATGCGGATAGCTACACACCCTGCAACATCTTCTCAATTTACTGCAAGCAGGCACAGAGTGGTAACTCTGCTCTGAATTCAGGAGCCCTGCAGCATCATTGCCACCCCATCACAGGAAGTTGCATCAGGTAGACTTCACTGACAGGTTTTTGTGGGACTTCACAGGGGACAAAGAAAAAACTGTACATGCATATGCACGTATAAGTAAGTGCTACACCTGTTGTTTTTTTGAGAACCACAGTTCTACTTTAAGCAGAAGTGTATAGGACATCATAGACAGTACCTGGCATATGCACCATGCGACAGTTACAGTTCTCCACCAAGTAGCGGGTCTCGCAGTCTATCCGACATGCAGAAATGCTGAACGTGTCAAAAAATTCTGAGTCCATAGCACTTGATTTACAGTCTCCCCATGGTGGAGGCAGGTATGTCAGCTAGAAGAATCACAAGGATGACAGACAGGAGTGAGTGGGAGACAGGGCAGAGTATTGCTGATACAGATTGATGAAGAGAGACAAGCAGATAGACAATGAGGAAACGCTAGATAACCAGGACAAGAAGCTGTAAAGAATTCTGTTGGAATGCGGTTTCTGATCAGATTTATCTCGGTGTCACAACCTTTCATGCTGAATCATTTCATCTATCGCGTTTTATATACACGGGATGCAAACAGTGCCTTGCGGGATGAAATATCTTAGGTGGATAATCAAACAAAAGATCACTCGGATATGGAGGCTTTTCAGTGATTATCTGTTTACTGATGTAATGTCAAACAAGTCTGGTTTCAGTGCAAGGCACAGAGAGGAGGAAGACATACTGTATTACAAAATAAATACCAATTACAGCTTTTTATAACAATTCCATTTTGTAAGCAACGGCTGATGTGAAAGCTGCCCACAAACAAGGGATGATTTCTAACAGGGTTATTCACAAAAGGGTGAAGAGTTTGGAGAAGGCAGGAGAAGTGAACAATTTAGGACAACATAGCTGAACTGGAAAGTGAGCTGAATTGCAGAACTGCAAACTCTTAACCCTTTAGTGAATAACCCTGTCAATCTTCCGCCCAGCGTTTAGCTGGGTGAACACCATTGGCACGGCATTGCCGCCACTAGATGGAGCTGAGAAGCTTAGGGAATTCCTATGCTCTTCGGCTCCATCTAGTGGTGGTAATGACGTGTGAAGAGCATTCATCCAGCTACACGCTGGGATGAAGATGTACAAATCAGGCCCTTAATTGGGTCTAATCCAAACTTTTTCAGCTGGATCTTCCAACAATCCAATGTCTATAGATGGTGCCAGTTCACAGTAGCAATGGGATGGACTAGCAAACTTTGACTGCTATTTTCTCCCCCTAGTGCTGCCTGTCCCAGCTTCCTTTCTACCTCTCCACATCACAGAGAGGCATTTGGCCATTCACATTTATATTACTGGATGTATTCATGGACATGTAGAGTTGGTTGACTTGTTGTGCTAGCACATCTGTATGTTCCATGTCTGCATGCTGCTTAAAGGGTATATAAACTCTGAACTAGTCTTAGCTGCTCCCCTTTGGGTCTGTTAAATATATAATGGAAAACAATTTGTTAGATCTGTTCAATAGATGCAAAAAAAGAATAACGGTTGACTCAGAAATTCGGAGCTGTGCTGTGTTTTCTGCACATTTTCTTTGTTATCTTAAGGAGTCTAATTAGGCCTTCCAGTTTTTATCTTGGACTACAATGCAATTTCCCCCATGTTGTAGAGATAAGGAGACAGCTGGAGATTCTGTAGTTTAGCATAAGACAACTGGTCAAAGCTTACACCATTTTTTGCAATTTTAGTCCAGAAAAGGTACCATGTGGACCGTCAACCTACAACAGGAAATTTTGAGCTAAGAGCATTTCTGGCAAATCACAGGCATGCTTCTTGTGCTTGAATGGGTAAAGCATGTGAAAATGTGCATGTATTGCAGAGATATTCTATATAACTATAATATATATATATATACACACACACACATACACATACATAGCATATACACTCACCGGCCACTTTATTAGGTACACCTTGCTAATATCGGGTTGGACCCCCTTTTGCCTTCAGAACTGCCTAATTTATTCATGGCATAGATTCAACAAGGTGTTGGAAACATTCCTCAGAGATTTTGGTCCATATTGACATGATAGCATCATGGGCCCAAAGTGTGCCAAGAAAATACCCCCCCCCCCCCACCATTACACCACCAGCCTGAACCATTGATACAAGACAGGATGGATCCATGCTTTCATTTTGTTTACGCCAAATTCTGACCCTACCATCTACATGTCGCAGCTGAAATCGAGACTCATCAGACCAGGCAACGTATTTCCAATCTTCTACATTATTGTCCAATTTTGGTGAGCCTGTGCCAAATTGTAGCCTCCGTTTCCTGTTCATAGCTGATAGGAGTGGCACCCTGTGTGGTCTTCTGCTGCTGTAGCCCATCTGCTTCAAGGTTGGACGTGTTGTGCGTTCAGAGCTGGTATTCTGCATACCTCGGATGTAACGAGTGGTTATTTGACTTACTGTTGCCTTTCTATCATCTTAAACCAGTCTGGCCATTCTCCTCTGACATCAACATGGCATTTCCGTCCACACAACTGCCGCTCACTGGATATATTCTCTTTTTCAGACCATTCTCTGTAAACCTTAGAGATGGTTGTGTGTGAAAATTCCAGTAGATCAGCAGTTTTTTAAATACTCAGACCAGCCTGTCTGGCACCAACAACCATGCCACGTTCAAAGCCACTTAAATCACCTTTCTTCCCCATTCTGATGCTCGGTTTGAACTTCAGCAAGTCGCCTTCACAACGTCTAGATGTCTAAATGCATTGAGTTGCTGCCATGTGATTGGCTGATTAGCAATTTGTGTTACCAAGCAATTGAACAGGTGTACCTAATAAAGTGGCGGAGAGTATGTGTATATGTATTGCATGTATTGAATATATTGTATGTATTGTATGAGAGCATGTGTAATATATGTAATATATTGTATGTGTAATATACATGAGTATTGCTTCTGACCTGAAGAAGAGAGGTTCACTCTCGAAAGCTTGTCTTTTATATACTTTGTTAGTCCAATAGGAAAGGTAAAATTGCACATCAAGTAGCAGGAGGGGGTGGGACCAAGTTTTTAGCACTTGCAGTATACAAATCCCAAAGCTACAAATATTGGACTCAGCACCTTGGTTTGAAAAAAACATCTATGCTGTGAGACATAAGAGCAGTGGAGATCAAATCTCACACTACACACATCTCTCCCCCTCAGGTACAAGCAGAATTCCCAGCATGCTTTGCCGACTATGCACCCTGCGTTCATTTTTTTGTATAATAACAATTTGATACAGTTGATTAAAGGGTATCAGGTAGTAAGTGCCAGTGCTTCTTTCATAAATGCCTTTAGAGAATGTCTTTAGCAATACTTTTCATATGACTCAAAAAGTACAATGTCACCTTACAATAATGTATAAGCTAATAATAGCAACCACGAATGGGTATGTAAAGGTTACTACATGTGGTGAATCCTAATTTATTCTTCATTGTATTGCCAATAACTGTTCAATGCAAGTCAGTCCTTGCTGTAACCAACCATTTTAGGCTAGAAAACGCTGACTCCAATGTGTTCCAGGTGCTGAAAATGTGAATTATTTGTATGCAGGGCCAAAATGTAACTGAACCTATTTAGAAATATTAATAGTAAAAAATACACAACTAACTTTAATTATCATTTAATACTTTAGGATTTTGTTTTATTTGTAGAACTGTAAGGAAATCAGAGAAATAGAGAAATTAGACCGTCCTCTATTGGGATTCTGTTTTTTACTGCTGATTTCAGCAGAATATGTCAGAACTGAGGCTCATATTCATTAACAATAGCTGACACGTACATAGCTGAAGCTACATGCGTATGTATGTGCCATGTGACATTTCGGGTAGAATTTAGCGTGTTGCCCCTGGGTCCTATTTCTATTTCTCTCCATTATCCCTCCCACAATGTCATAGCTCTCCATGACTCTGACCTTTTCTGAGTCTCAAGTGTCTGACTGAGTACGCTGTATTATAGCATGCTGTAAGCCTGTTATTTTATAAAATGAATGATCTGTACACAGGGCACCGATACCAGAATCTGCTATATTGCTAAAAGTCCCACTCCACTTTTCTTTTGGAATTTGATATTGTATAGCTGAGAAATAATCACCTATGTGAATAGTATTAACCATTTACCTTATAGGGTAACTTCACCTTTTACACCATGTTTCTTGTTACATCCACATACAGGGTATAACATTAAACATTGTCACATTGGGACCCCCCCACCCCCTCAACTTGAACCCTGAATAGTGGGTTTATCCCCGCAAGGTGCTGCTGTATTCTGAATTCGGCGCGGCTTTGTGTGGCTCCGCTTACACCGTGGCTGATGGAACCTGTAGTTCTCTGAGGGGTTTGTGGTTTTCAATAGGATACACATGCAGTGACATCACCACACTTGTAGTCCATTCATTCTTCCTCTGGGTTTGCACAGGCATTTGGTGCACACAAAGTAGATTTATACCCATTGTGGTTTTTGAAGAATATATTTCAATAAAGGTTTTTTTGTGTGTCTGGAGTTCAGCTTTAAAGCTGATCTCAAGGCAGTTTAGAAATGACTATGAAAATAATAAATGTATTTTTAGTGTCAGTACCCACATCTTTCTTGATTACAGCCTTTAGTAATCAGTTCTAGAAGAGAGAGAGGCAACACTAGGGGGTCTACTTCTATTCGCCCTGCAAAAACTAACATTCTTAGTATATTTTCCCTTGCTTCTGTGCAAATAGAGGGAAAAATGAGCGCTCCTAATATATTTTCTGTTTGGGTCAAATACAGTATAATGTAATACTGCATTATGGCCACTAGATGGAGCTGAGCAGCCTTAGAAATAAGTATTTATTCGCTATGCTCCCCAACTTTATCTAGTGGCCATAATGCAGTATTACATTATATTGGACCTGAAAAGAAAATATACAAAGAACGTTTGTTTTTGCCTCTATTCGCACAAAACAAAAGTTCACAGAAATTCATAGAGCTGATTGCTCCGCAAATTGTTTATAAATAGACCCCTAGGAATCATTCAGGTATGCTGCATGCTCATGTGCTGACAAGGAACATTATGACTACATGGGCATAGCAAACGTTCACCTTAAAGTGACACTAAACTTAGGAGTTCAGTCTTAAAAAAGTATCTTACCTATTAACAAAAATGTATCTTATTTGTGTATCGCTCGGCTGTAGATCCTCAAATCATCTCTGAATTGGTGCTGACACTGTCCTTCCTTCTGGAGGGTGGCTACTTATGATCCCCATGGTCCCTGTGTGTGTTGTCAAGTAGCCACTGCTCTAAGCTCACCCCTGTGATGGACTACAATCTCAATACAAATTAGTAAAGCAAATGTGAGATTGTAGTCCCGAAATCACAGAAGTGAGTTTGGAGTGGAGACTACTATACAACACACAGCGACCAGGGGGAGCAAAAGTAGTCACCCTCCAGAAGGAAGGACAGTGTCACCACCAATTCAGAGATGATCCTGCATCTGCGAGTTATGCCTGTGGCTGTCAAGAGTCTTGCAATGCCTAACATGATTTGTAGTTGCACCACAGCTGGGGGGCCACAGTTTGCCTTCACCTGCTGTAGGGTATACTTACTCGCTGTTCCTGGCAAGACACAAATGTTTGGAATCCCGGAGCCACACCAAACCCAAGCTGGTCTATGAAGGGAGGTTCATCCTGACTATGAATCTGGACTTTGATTCCAGCCTCAAAGGATGTCTCATCTGCAATATGGAGACCAAATATTAAACACAACTGTCAATACACAAATGCCATCTGCATGAAAGAAAGTGGATCTACATACCAGTCTCTCCCCAAACTGGTAAATATTCATCTTGCTGTATATCCAGCATCAGCTCTATTCCATTTCCTGTGCCACCTTTAGAAGTAATTAAAGGGGTACGTCCATTCTGGCCCGAGTTAAATGTGTAGCATTTGCCGTATCTCGTAAAAACCTGTCAGAGAAACCAAAAATAAGGAGTTATAATCCAAATATAAACATTTATAATTCAGCATATAATCCATGGTTTATTTTACATTTTATTGTCTCCTGACCATAATGGAAGTCAATGCTGGTGCTCACCACCCCTATCTGACCGAGTTCATTATTGCCCATGTGAAAATAAGAGCTGCAAGCCCCGGCATACTTACTTTGACACTGATAAGCAGATTATACTAAGAGTTGTAGAAATCAAGTCATTTATAGGAATACCCGCTGTTCAAGATCATTGCAAAATAAATTCAGCTGAAGTGTTCTTTGAATTTATGGCCCTCTAATGGCGCATCTTCAACAATCTTCTGGACATTCAAAAAAGAGATGAATCACTTTTTTTCACAGGACACTGAGAATGTAGACGTCTTCTTCAAAGTAACGAGAGGGGATGTACGGTACGAGGGCTACAGGATCATAAATGTCATATAATGCTGAATAATGTCTTATCAACCCAGAATTCACATGCTGCAATCCAAGTGGACAGGCAATTCAATTTTATGCCGGGGCCTGGGAGATGACTAAGATCTCTTAGTGGAATTTTCAAATCTGCTTGTCCTGTAGACTCACTTAAGACTTTTGTTTTCAGCCACAGAGGCAAAGCAAGATAAAGTGACTAGACTAGTTCCCAATCAAACTCGAGCCACTTTGTCAGGCCCAAATAATAGAAAACGCTTCTTTATTGTGCTTAGTTAAGCCATTGCATTTATTACCGGTGATTGTAGTGAACGAAGAGGCCATTAAAGGGTTTTAAACAGAATAAGACATATCCTTGCCAGTCAAGTGCATAAATAGCTGTTAGCAAGATGGAAGATTTCCAGCGCATAGTTTAGCGACTTGCTTCGATTCCCAGTGCTCGTATTGCGGGAAAGATTACAATGTGATATAATGCTGCACTTATTGCGCCAATATACTATTTTCCGAGACTGCCATTTAGGAGGGTATTAAAGTCATAAAAAAAACAATTATTTTGAAATTGCTAAGTAGTAAAGCTGAATCTCTCCCATATGCTAATGTGTAAGTGTGAAGCTTCCAGTACAGAGAAAAAACTTTTTTGTTTACTATTACTAACTAGATGGTGTTGTTACTACTACAGCCTGAGGGTTGTTTTGCCCTATTACAGTCAAATGAAAATAGCAATGGTTAGTAGATCAATAGAAACACTGGAATACCGTTAGTCTTTCATTGGCGCTCTAAGATGTGTCAGCATTAAACGGTGTCTATGATCAAAAAATAAAAATAAATTTGTGATTCTATATTGATTTTTCATAAGTTCTATCCCACTCCTAATAACCATATCCATCTAGTAGTTTGTAAAATTACTGGGTGACCAGTCAACATGAAACATGATAGATATGTGCACTATTGATTTAACATGAATTAACAATAAATATGCTTTTTTATTCAGACACGAGTTTGTCACAAGTCTTTTTTGCACCCAAAAAGCCCCACTAGTTGTTTTTTTGTGTTATGATAGGGCATGCAGTCTTAAGAAATGGAGATTGCATCACATCAAGCAGCAGGGAAAGAGACACAAAGCACACTGGGAATCCAGGAAGTTAATGAAAGTGATGGGCAGACAGAAGGCAACATTTTTTCGAGTAAGCTTTGATTGCATCAAAAACCACTCTAATATGTATTCCTATTACAATGCTGATGTTGTAACAGGACAGTATATGCTGGGACTTTAGAACTCCTTTAAGAGCAGTCCACCTTTGGGACCATGTTTCATGTTACACCTATAATTAGGGTGTAACATGAAACATGATTCCATTTGCTCCACGTCCATCTGCTGCTCCAACTTTCCATAGCTTTCTCCTTCACTTGATTCATATAATATATAAATATATACACCTTTCCTTTGCTCCCACACAGCTTTTTTTCAGGCACCTGGAGTGAAGTGAAATACCTGGCATCATCAGGTATGGGTGAGCATGTGACTAACTCCTGGTTTCCCACGTGACAGCGCTAGGTTGCATCCTGATTTGTCCAGTTCTGTCACATGGGGTGATGTAACCATCAGCCCAGGGGGAGTGGAAGGATCACAGCTGCGGTTTTAGCCTCACACCTGGTGTTAGATTGGCTCAGGTCGAGGGTTCACTTTCACACTCTGTATGGGTAGGAGTGATGGTGGAACCCTCTATCACATCATATGCTAAACACAGGAGATGAGAGTGGTGGCAACGTATACTTTGTGCAGGTATAGCTATGTCACACAGATCTGGTAATCACCACTAGGTATTTATGCGAAGCCCTCTTATCCCTAGCAGTCCGCACTCAATGGGGTGCAGCGACACTATGCGTTTAATATACACGCGCTATGTCTCTATGCATGAAGTACAAACTAGAACAGGTAAGTCAATAAGAGTTATAAACAGAATGCAGGAAGCAATGTAGGATAACCCCTCTGCTGACACTTGTTTAGTATCACCTCTACTGAGGCAGGTTACTTGCGGTTTGGTGAAGGGTTAACTTCCACTGGAGGGCAACAGCTGAGCTGCAGGGGAGACTCCACAAGATATGCTGCTTCCAGGTAGATCAGAGAGGCAAGGCAGGGGTTGCAGAGAAGGGTTCCTGTGTAATCCCCGATCGGTAGCAGAGGCTGTGAAGAGCTGTAGTTAGGGAGGTATTGCTCTCAGAGTAGGAGGTTCAGGTGAGTCCTGTCGTAGGCGAGTTGCACTGGCTCGACGTTCGCAACACTAGAACGCCGAGCTACTGCAAGTCTCGTCATTTTAAAAAGGAGGAGGAGATCCTGTTGGGGGAGGAGCCGAGAGCGCCGGCCGACGTCTCGGTCTCCTAGTGACGTCACGCCGTTGTGTGGGGAAGCCGGCCCGCGGCCCAAAACGACGGCCACGGGAGAATCTCTCACAGGTGATTCCATACCCTTGTGAGTGCTTCGACAAGTTGGTATGAAGCTTGCACACAGAGATGGGTTAAAGTAGAACTGAAGCCAAAACTTTTTTTTTTGGATACAGAACCTAAAAGGTTTTAACCCCTGTCAGCATTTTTTGCCACCTGTGTCCCATTGAGGAGATTTCCCTTCACTTCTGGTCCAGTAGTCTGAACAAGAAGTGAGAGGGAATCCCTCCAAAGAGAAGAAAATTCCTGGTGGTCACCAGAACTAGTGTAACTATTTGAAGATTTTCCTGTTCCGATGATGACCCAAAATATGGGATTTTCTTTCACTTTCAGTGATAACAGTCACCGGGACAAATAGATAGGGTGAATCTCCCTAGGGGGTGGCAGGAATAAGAGGAAAACTGACAGTTTTTCTAATCCCTCGACCACTTTATCCAAAATGTTAAAAAAAAAAAAAAAAGTTTTGGCTTCAGTTGCCTTTAAGGTAGAATGGGCCCCTTGGCAAGGTACTAGCTTTGGCCCCAATCCTTTTGACTGATTTTGATGAGGGTTGCAATAGGTACAAAAACCCCTCCCCATTTGCATTTTCTGTACTAGTCCACACCATCAGACACCCACAAGTGCATTCTCACATTTGCAGTGCTGTGCTTCTGCCTAGGTTGCCTTGTAGATTTTCCGGCTCTGCTTACACGTCTTCCTTTCCCCAGTCCTGATAGCTGAACAAGTGGCAGGGGAGGGAGGAAAGGTTAATATATGGCCCTGGGAAGGGATGAGACTATGTGAACCTTTTACTTTGTCACGGGCAAAGGAAACCTAATAGGGATGGCCCGATACCGATGCTAGTATCGGGGCTGATGCAGGGCATTTTCAGGAGTACTTGTACTCCTGAAAATGCCCCGATGCATGGATCCAATACCGGCCCTTTATATTTTTTTCAACTAGCTTCGGCCATTGACCCCTCATATCCTCTTAGTGCATTATGCTGATACCATTGCTCACACACGGCATAACAGGGGAACTTGGGGGCAGAACCTTTTCCATATTGGCTGGACCTGCTTAGTTATGACATGACAAATATGACCAATAGCCACCAACGAGCCATGAGTTCTTTCATATATACTGCTTAGAGGGACCCCATAAACAGCATGCATACATTTAACAGGAAGGACTTTTGTATTTCTCAATGGTAACGGGTTATGCTATATGAATGGATCAGATAAGAATAGTGCTTAGCAACTCCTAGCTTACCTGTGAGAACGTATATGTAACATAGTTGTGACTTTAATGCTCTGGTTCTATATCACTCTTTCATAAGTTTGATATATGACATGTTTTCTTGTTGAAATAACGTCATTTTTCTGTTCTATAACTTGAATTTTTGATTATTTGATCTTTTCTTTTTTCTATTATTTATTCTGACCAATGACACTAAATAATCTGAATAGATATCGTTTCCTCTATTTCATGCACGTGATGGTTGTAACTTGTCTCATTGTCATTATTCACAAATTGACCTATGTACTCTACAGGCAATGTAATTGCATTTATTCCTCTCAATAAACGTTATTGCAAAAAAAAATAGTGCTTATCTGAGTTTTCTTTAATATGTGCTGGCCGTGCCGTTTTTACAAACACTGGTATAGATCTCTTGTTGCAGATGCTGTGACATTAAAAGGAACAACTGATAAAAAGCAATAAAAAGAAAACTGAACATTTCTTTAAAGTGAAAGTCCGTTGCCCAAATCTCTTCCTCTCCCTCCACAGCATGACCCAGCTTCTCGACAGAACACCGGCACTAAAATTTTTAAACTGAAGCGGCTGCCTGAGGTCCCGCACTTGCTGTTAACCACACAGTGCCATGGTGGTTGGGGGGGGGCCTTCATAGTTTCTTGCACCGGGGCCCTGAAGGTTCTAGTTACGCCTCTGCCCAGCATATATCACTTTTATTTAGTTCCTTTTTAACTTATTTAGTTTGGCTTTAATTACTTCCTGTGACATCATCATCAGTCTCAAAAAAGCTACACACAGTGAGTGTTCAGGAACTTGGGAGTCGAGGCAGCAGCACTGTTTTTGTTGGGAAAAAAAAAGCAATGTATTAATGTTAAT